GGGGTGCCTGGGGCATGAACTATGCACGTGCAGTTAATTCATATCTTACTGTAGGTAGATATTCACACCAATCTCGCGTGCTTTCAAGCATTTTTGGGATGTTTCGGTTGGTTTCAGGTTCCTGGTTCAGTCCAAGCTCAGTCTGGGTTTCGGTGGTTTTGCCCGGTGTGTGCCCTCAGCACCGTTCCTCCAATTCTGGCCCAAGGCAACGCAAGAGCGCTGCCGGCATCTAGTTCTATGTACATGAGGTATTCCAGAGGCCGTTATGGGACCTTCAAAGACCGTGTGCGGTGCGCCGGTGACCCTTAGAATTGCCGGCGTTGGGTCTCAGGAGCTGGCGTGCGGCCTTTATGGGGCCCCAAAGCCAGCGTGTGGACCGTAGAGCAATGGGGAAGCTAAGGGGGGCCGGAGGCCAGACCCCCATAGGTCATAGGGGCCAAATCGATGGGCCCAAACATCCCGCCGGCCGTGTTTTATTTTTAAACTAATTAATGTAATCCATGATAAAAAGAAGTGTGCCAACATCAACTGTGCAAAAGGTCTCTCTGAGGCCCGTAGGGGCCCTTGAAGGTCACTGTAAGCCTTTAGGGGCCTGCTTGGTAAAATCGGAGATCGATTTGGATCACGTTGCATGCATGCATGTGCATTTACTCTGCTCATGCATCTCCTGACCGTAAGATGCTCGCTCAGTCATCTTACGACCGTCAATTTTGAAGGTTTTCCCGCCCCGCTTCCTTAGAACCGGCTTATTCCGGAGCAGTGGCGGCGCTGACTTTTTGGAAGGGGCCCGGCGTGAGGTGGGGGGCCCAGTCGCCACATCTTGCACACCCTACGAGAATTTGAATCCGCGGTCCCTGATCACCGACGAATCGCCACCGGCATTTCGCGACCCCAGCGCCTGATCTCCAGCCTCCAACTGTCACTGGGGCGGACCTGGGGCTTACCACACCCAGGCTGGGCCGGCACTGGGGGCTTACCACACCCGGGCTAGGCCGGGAATGGGGGCTTACCACACCCGGGCTGCCGGAGGAGCTTACCGCCGTCGCCGCGGGCTTACCCCCTCCCCCCGTCATTCCCGACGTTTCCCTCTGTCTCTCTCTAGATCCGAGCGGGCCGCACAGAGCGCCGCTGAACCGATTAACGTCGATCGACGTCGGAGCGATTTAAAAGCGTTTTCAGATTGGTCCGGAAGTGCCGCGGATTGTGACAAAGTGGGGGCGGCCGCGGGGCACAGCACAGACGGTAAGAGGCCGTTCTCAGCCGCCGGGAACCGACAGATGTGCCGGTACCGGGCCCGGAGCGGTAGGAGTGCAGAGACAGAGAGGATTTCCTGAGCCGTACTGAGAGTAGAAATTGTTTTCTTGGGCCAGGTGGTTCTTGAAAGAATAGAACTACAATTGCTTCTCAATTGAAGAGATTGAAATCAAAAAGAGCTCTTAACGCTATATAAACATAAAACGTCCAGGGAAGCAACGTTTTCAAGCGCACTTATGAAAATACTGCAATCCTCGTACCTGTGTAATGTAAGATAATCAAACGGAATAACACCATCGCGCCACGCTAAAGAATCACTACACAACTCACAACTATGTAAGCTAGTTATATATATATATATATATATATATATATATATATATATATATATATATATATATATATATATATATATATATATATATATATATATATATATATATATAAACTGGTGTTTATGTCTAGCTTGCAAGCAAAACGATCACGCTGGCCATTGCATTCAATGCGCGTTTGCGTTTGCACAAATCAACCGCGATAATCTATTCCAGTGTAGTATGTATTTAGGCAGTGAAACACACCTCCAGCACTACGAAATGCAAACCACGCAGAAATGCGACACCACCCAGCGTTACCACTTACCAGGGCGCTAATCTAAAACTAACAACATCGTTACTCCACGATAAACCTGCTTTACACCAGTACTGATCCGCCTACCATGAGCTCGTGTCCATCCCGTGAGCCGTGCGCTGGTCAGCAGCCGGGGACCCTCCCTCCGTAGGTCTGTCCGAGGCGACCGACCCCAGTCCGGAATCCGGTGCCACTCAGCTGAGACCGCGCGTGATTAGCCCGCGGCGATGCGGGGCGCCGCGGCTGGCGATGACGTAATGCGATTACACATTACGGATTGTTTGTCTACAATCTGCGTGGGCGTATTGAACGCGGCAGGGGAGTCACAGGTCGAATGGTCACAGGTCAACGGTAACGGGGAGGAGGAATCAGCTGTGAGTGAAGGCATGCTGCAGCATGCAGCAATAGGTATATGAACGCAAGGCAAAGCCGTTTGCTCAGTCTCATTTTGAAGTTTTTTGCCAAGCATCAGTTGTTTGAGTAGTTTAAGAGGTACGCATTAGTGTTTACTTCACCACTTCTTTCTTTTTACCTTCCCTCTTTCGTATCCTCTTTCTTTTCGGGATAATCTGTATATATAGCACACATCCTCTCTCTCCCTCGTCCCTCTCCCTCTCTCTCTCTTTCTCTCTCTCTCTCTCTCTCTCTCTCTCTCTCTCTCTCCTCTCTCTCTCTCTCTCTCTCTCTCTCTCTCTCTCTCTCTCTCTCTCTCTCTCTCTCTCTCTCTCTCTCTCTCTCTCTCTTCTGACAAAAACAGCAGCATCATTCTCTCTTTTTTCTCTGTCCAACTGTGTGCCGAACCTCTCGCCTGTGCTGGAGCCGGCGAGCCCCGTTTAATTAAACCCCGACTAACAGATGTGACCACCGATCAATAAGGCCCCAAATGCGCCGGCAATAGCAGCTCCGTTCACCCTTACGAACCACGGCTGCATACGACGAAAACACGCGATATTGGCCTCTTTTATCTGGCAGGGCTCGTTCATTGTTGAAATTGCTTGCTGTCGGTATTCAGTTTGTTATTTCATGTGCTTCCCGGAAATGTTGATGAAGGGTTGGAAAATGGTATGCGATGTACTCATATAATATTCTTGCGTATTGAAGAAACTACGCAGATTTATTATGAGAATTGAGACACGCAAAGCATTCCAATCGGCCTTATGCATAAAGGCACTCGGCAGGAAGAGCCAGGCGCATGCTGCACCGCAGCACAGGCAGCTACTGCGGTACAGTCTACGTTTCAGGTTCGAGCGCGGCGCCGATCCCAACGGAAGAGAGCGGCGGTGTGGTCGCACTTGCTTATTGCGGCAATGGAGAAGCCTTCAAATTAAAAGAGACTTTGCATTGTTTTCATCCCTAACCTATAATATTATTGCAAAATATTTTTTTTAACGTAACCGTTAGAGCCTAGAGGGACGTCTTCGGCTATACTTCAAAAAGATTTCCCGTCAACCAAACACCAAATTGTAACATGCTGCTCAGTGTTTACCAAGCAGGCAGCGTGCACCGCGTGAATCGTGATGTGTGTTTTACTGATTTTATTTATAATAGTTAGTTTATGTGTAGTCCGACACCTTCTTGCGGACATCCCGTCTAAAAAGAGTCGAATTTGAGCCTGTCTGTCGGCTCCCTGACCAAACACTGTCATGTTTATCAAATAGCGGTGCAAAAAGGTAGTCATCGCCCCTATCCACCGCAGTATTTGGCCCCCACCGGCAGTACATCAGGACCTCTCATCTCCTATGTTGACACCGTCGCCGTTTCACGTTCAGTAAACAAATCGTTGGGTGGCAGCCGTGCCGGTGACACCACCAGCTCGGCTACAATATCTCCCCGTCCGGGAGATACAATATCTCCCCGTCTGAGAGCGACGAAATGAGCGGCCGTCTGACGTGGCTGCAATATGTTGCCGTCTCCCCCGCATTCCGCGCCCAGCCGCCTGCAAAGGCATTCCGAGCATCTGTGCGCCGGGGCGGGAACAAAGTCAACGGAGGGAGGCGAGGGGTGCCGTCCCCCTGGAAAGGAGTGGGGCTATTGAAGGCAGCTCGGACGGAAAATACGGCATATCCGATCTGCATACCCAGGATGGGATGGTGTGTTGAACACTCTTGACACCGAAAGATGCGAGAGAAAGATACCACATCTTTCGTTGAGGAAAATGGTATGCAAAAGACTGAAGGTATACCACAAAACCGCTGCTGCAGCACTATTATTTGCAACTTGGCTAAATGAACTTATTTTTTTCTGACAGCAGCGCTGATTTCAGTCACATTCATTGTGTGTTCTATGCTAAAATCTCTACACCAAAGCATTGCAAAAGCCGTTAGTTGCACGAGACGAGAGCATACACTAGATCGACGTTTGCTTTGGATGCAAACAAAGCCATGTTTGTAGTCTCACCGGTACTTGTGTGTGAATGATATGATGAACGTAAACGATATGTGTCGTATCGACCTTCTTACACCGCTGTGCCGTGTTCCAGCCACCGCCTCCATCTGTCAGCCACTGCTACACCACGTCCACCACCCATACCAAAACCACCGCCCCATCCTAACACAGCCTTCACCAAGTCCTGCCACGGCGGCTGGCCGTCGGCCGCCAGCGGTATTTACACAGTCGGGAGCAGCTGGCCCTCTCCCCTCCCCTCCCCTCCGGCTCTGCCCTCCACCCCTCCTCTGGGCCTAATTGAGGATCTCGCCCCATTGATTGCAGATCCCGCATATATAAATACGCCAATTAGTCCCCAGTTGGCGCCCGCCGCGATTTAATTCCTGCTGCGGCAGCGGCGCGCGGTAGAAACAGGCGACAACAGCCTGGGTACGGGCACGTCCGGAGACTATACTTTTAATCTGGATAGAAATACAGGCAGAGAGACAGACATATACATATCCGTATACACACAGTTATGACCTGAAGACAGACTGGCAAGACGCATCTTGATATTTAAGCATCTTTGAATACATTGGCAACATTAGTATTTTGCGCTTTCTCATCTAAGCGCCTGTATGAGATGGGCAGAAACCGAAACTGTCATAGAGATGCATTAATCATCCACTAACGAGTATTGACCACAACTGTCAACTAGTAACTACCCTCATCATCTCTACCCACTCGCTCCACAGATCTGCTGCCCAGTAATGGTGACGGCTACCCGGAGACCAAGGAATTTCTGCAGAGCGTGGTCGACATCCTGTACGACTTCATCCAGAAGACGTTCGACCGCAACGAGAAGGTGATCGACTTCCACCACCCGGAGGAGCTGAGGCGGCTGCTGGACCTGCGCATCCCGGAGCAGGGCGTCACCATCGAGCAGCTGCTGCAGGACTGCAGCCAGACGCTCAAGTACCAGGTCAAAACAGGTCAGTCCCCAACGGCCGAGACGGGTCCGCCGCTCACAGAGTGCATGAAATGTCTTAGCATGTCCACGGCCATTGCCAGTGAAACAGGACAGGGATAAAAGTGTGTTTCTTTTGACTACAGAAAGGTGTGTTACTTGATAGGGGAGAGTGGGGTAATTTGGCCGCTTTTTTTTAGAAAACGATGTAACTAAAAATCGACAACACATTTCTGCATTTTCTCAACGCGGACAGGTGTGGCATACATTTTACTTTCTTGGACAGTAAACTTGAAATGATTGAGTAACTACTTATATTGAAATTGTGGCGGATTACACAGGTCTGCAAAGCGGCCAAATTGCCCCAGTAGCAGGGTTATTTGGCCGGGGGTGTGGGGCAATTTGGCCGGTGTTAGTTTGAGGCCATTATTTTTGTTATAGGCGAGTCAGCTTCACATTCAGCAATGACGCGTGTCCTACGACGCATTTGAAGCATTTTGGAGGTTGACTCAGCCGTCACAGGGGTCGAAAATAGTCAAAATAGCGGCTCTAGATGCGATGACAGTTTTTTTACGAATAACTTTTGAAGTAATCAAGTTAGGCCAAAACTAAAAACACCATCGTAATTCTCTCGTCATTCCGCATCGAAACATGTATGTGTTGACCTCGAAAGGTCAAGGTCAAGGTCAAGGTCAAGGTTGGCTTCAGGTCTCGTTACTTCAGGTCGCTTGACCTCAAGGTTACGTGAGTTCAAGGTCATCATGTATATCATTCGATGCGCCTTGACGAGCTGAACACAATGAGACCATTTGCGCGGTTGTATCTTTTTTCTGTAAGTATTTATTAGCAAAAAAGCGTTAGTTAACCTTTGATGACGTCACATGCCCTTACAGCTGTCCAATAGGAAATATGGCATCAAGGTAGTCAAAGTTGGTCATGAATTATGTCCTTTATGGTATAATTGACCATGACAACTCGGCCGTCCCAGCATAGTGACTCTGAGCGCACCGGCCAAGTTACCCCGCTAGTCCCGGCCAAATAACCCCACATTGCCATTCTGAAATTTTTTGTCTATAAAGTCGTCATGGCTGTACAGAACTAGATGAAATTGCTCTTGGAGCCGCTGAACACCCTCAAAAATGGCGCTACTAATGTTTTAATTCGTTTACAGCCCAAATACTACATGTTATACAAATTTTTAAACGGAAGTAAAAGTTACCATTTTGTAACGTAATTCACCTTTTATCAATTTTGAATAAAACTAAGAGGGGGAAAGTTTTGATATTTGTTCTCGAGTTAATTCTGCCGATGACAAATGAATAGAGACCTAAGTTATTTCATTCACTTTTATCAGCTTTCGTACAGGTGGGGGCGGCCAATTTACACCACCGGCCAAATTACCCCACTCTCCCCTACTTCAATACCGTTTCTACAGGGTAAATTAACAAGCAGTTAAAAATATTTTGCAAATTTCTCTCCAAAATTCACTATTAGCAGTCGTCTAAGAATAGCCAGTTCTAAAAGAATTGTCATCCCCCCCCCCATCAACCACCTCGCCACTGCCTTCGGCTGGCGGTCCCAGCGCCCCTCTAGCCCGTCGTCGCCGTCGGAGGCGGCGCGGCGGAGCTCGCCGCTGATATCTGGCGGCGAAGGAAATTAATTCTGTAATCCGACGCCTAAAGTTGGCCACTATCGCTGCGGCGGCAAGCTGTCAGCGGCAGCCGCCGGCGACGGGCACAAAATGGCGGGCCGCCCCCGAACAGCAGCCTCCTCCTCGACGGAGGGTGGGAGGAAGGAGGACTTAAAGCGGATAAAAAGTAGAGGAGGAGAAGGAGAAAGGGGTTAAGAGAATAAAAACAGTGCAGAGAGAATAATTTCGAATAAAACAGAATAAAAAGAGAGAAAGCAGAACAAAGAATAACATTGCGGAGGCCCATTAGGTACAGAGATCAGACTGACGTAGGGGAAAAGGGAGGTGGAGAGAAAGAGAAGATGAACAGAAGACGAAAGAAAAGAAAAGTAGAAAAAGCAAAAAAGTAAGGTTACGAGGGCATTTTTTATATCACAGATGTATTGGATGGATAGTGTGCGAGAGATATTGACTGGAGGGGATAAAAAGAGTCCACGAGTGGCAAAAGAGGAAAACAATCCGTTCTTATTTATCTCTCAACATTTGAAGTGTCTGCGGAGAAGTTTTCCGGAGCACCTCTGCAGCCGGAGCCTGAGTGGTGTCTGTTGACTTCAAGTGTCTCGAGTGGGAGCGCTGAGAGAACTCAGCCCAGCCGGAGACTCTTGGTGGCAGCCGCCGGGTCTTCGTAAGCTACCGTCCCACTCGTTAGCTGATAAAACCCCCTTCTGTAGTGCCGAAAGAAATCGTGCGTTTGAATTGATACTTCTTCTACCTCCGCTATCAGTATGCAGTGTCATAAATATCATGATAGTGGTTATACTAGGATGCCTTAACTGATCCAGCCTCTGACTGACATGCATTTGAAATACGTGCTTTCCTTCACGTAACTTCCACATCAAAAGCAAGCACCGGCAACTGTCAAACGCAGATGCCCTTCTCCGTTTGTATTTTTCTCCACAAAAGTCCTTGTTTTTCTCGCGCCACGCTCTCCCATTCCAATCGGCTCCGGCGGATTGAGGCGGGCCAAATGTAGGTGAGAATTGCCACGTGCCCGTATTTATCTCCATATCACGAGTGGCTGCTAAGCCGGGGGGTAAACACACTCCCCTGGGCTCTAATTAAACTGTCAACACTCTCACCAACCACCACTCGGAGCAGCTCTCACACACAGCCGCGAACGCTACGAGCTGCACTGAGCGGCGCCCCTCTGCCAGCCAGGGGGAGATTTTTGTCGACGTTTGCGGTGTGAAAGCGCGCCGCGCGAGGCCGACCGGCGGCCGTCACCGCCAGCTGATGGATGGCCCCCGACCGGCGGCCGGGTTAAAACACTTGGCGCTGTGATGGACGGCCGGCACGCGCTAATACTGGCCGATAGACGCCCCCGACGTGGCACGGTGAAAAATGGACCGGACGCCGCCACCGCCGCCCACGGTAGTGCCAGCTAAAGCGGGGATTACATTGCAGCGGTCGCTCGGAAAGCGAGGCTCAAACGCAGTGGCGACAAAAGACAACAGCATAAGCCTTACGGTGACAGGCATTCATTTGATCAGATGTTTCGTTCTTTCGCTGTTATGCTTCGGCATATTCTGTCGCCTTATTCCAGAATTTTTGTTTTATTTAGACATCATTTCTCTATCCTGCGTTTCTCTTTTTTTCTTTTAAATCTTATTTAATGCTAATCGCTTTTTATCCAGCTCATTTCACCAGGTTCGTATTTTCCGTATTTCTCTATAGCATGAGACACGCATAAGCAATGTCACAGGGAAACCTGCCCACAGTTAGATGAATAGAATATGCAGAATGCCAGTCCACTATTGAAGACCGACTGACGACCATTTACCATTGCTATCCCACGTCTCGCGTCCCACGTCAGAAGCATGGTCGTCACTCGTACATACAGCTCAGGCGGCAGATCGATCTCGGAAATATGGGCGATGTCAGTGGCAGGCGGTGCCCTGAGCGGCGGCAGAGCGCCCCCATCGGTCTCTCTTGACGCCCGCGCCAGACGAGGGTCAGCGACGGGCTCCCCGGGCACGGACACAGAGCGGGACGGGACGGGACGGGATAGAACAGAACAGGACAGGGTCAGAGAGGCGAGGTGCAGTGTGGGGACTTCACTTTTACTGCAGGTTATAACTAAATATAACCTGCAGTAATATAGAAAAGATAAATGGAACAGCAGCGAGAATAGGACGGGAAAATGCGTAGGATCGGATCAGCTGGTCAAAAAGTAGAGACGAGGTTGCGGCATCTTGTTTTAAATAGTTAACATCACTAAAGCATCTTTAGCAAGAGCATCAGTTCGCAATGGTGCTCATGCTGCCTCCGGTTCTTTTACATGAGCCCACAATTCTTGGTCCTTTGACCCCGTCTCCCAGCATCATTTTTCAGTCGTGTCAACCTTTCCCAGTTTTGCTTCCTTATTATTTCAGGCCCTGTTCTCAGTCTGTTTTTCTGGTTTCAGTTTGTGTTCTCAGTACTATCACACTGCTATTTCAGTCCCTGTTCTCGGTCCATTTCTGCGCCGTCCCGACCTCTGTCTGTCTGTCGCCGCGGCCGTCGTGTTGCCGTTTCCCGTGGCCCTCTGCCTGGCCTGTCTTTCTATGGCCGCAGACGTCGTGTTGCTGTTTCCCGCGGAGCTCCATCTGTCCGAGGCCAGCCCCTCTGTCCCTTTCTGATTCCACCTCCGACTGCACCCTGAGCCCCCGCACGCGCCAGATGGTCCTGTCCCCAGCCGCACCGACCCGCGGCCGGCCCCACATAGCAAAACAGCCGCCCCGCCCGCCCGGCCAGCCGGCAAATACGTCAGACTGAAATATGTTGGGGATTTTCATTAAGACCCCTGGCTTTGGCCTGATCCCGAAATCTTCGTATTTTTGGGCGCTCTCCATTACTTTTCACTCAGCCATCGGAATTGGGAATTATTCCGGAATAGAGTCGTAACTAGACTGACGAACGCGCGACAGGGGAGGCTCCCGCCCACGGCACCCATTCAACCAGATGGCTTATTTACGGCCGAATAAGTGGTCCTGAATGCCGAATGGTTGGGCCCGTATCGGCGGACCGGGAAGCACACAATATTGGCCGATGAGGTATATCACAAACTCTGACTAAACGGGCGGCGGCAGAGGGAATAAAGGCGGCTGATTATACGGGCAAATATCTACGAACAAGGGTTGATTTATTTGAAAGAGATGAGATTTATCAGGTAATCACTGGCGAACTGCTTATCAATACTTCCCTTTGAAAAATAAACTTACGACCGACACGTGCAACAAACTTACGGAAGACACACATGAATCCGAAGGTCAAATAAATATTATAAAAAAAGAAAAACAATAAAAAAATGTTGTGCAAAGCAAACACCTACCGGCACGGGACTTAGGTATCCCAAAAGTAATGCATAAAACATTTTTCCGGGTGTTTACCAAGCATCGCACCTAAATGCAGGCCTGACTGATCGGGCCCCCACTTCTCTTTAACAGCAATATAACTCTAAGCGAAAAAAGGAACCAAGGTCTGTTCCGCTCCGTTCTGATCCTACTGTCTGCTCCGTTCCGTCCCGCCTGTCCATCCCGTTCGACCGGAGCCAGCGCGGCGGCGCCGTCTCGGCACTGCCGGATCCCGGCATCACCCCTCTGTCGTCGCCACCCTGCCTCTCCAATCGGGCTTTTAATAACACTCAGTCGCCGACGGGGGAATTTATTAGGGGATGATGGTAGCATCTGCGTCCGCCGATTACCATCAAAAGCTTTATTTACGCGGCGGAGCTGTCTGCCGCCGCGGACGACGGATGCGGCGAGGCGCCATGAACCAATAGATGGACACCAATTACCGCAGTAGTCGGAGCCGATGGGAGACTGTGTCCTACAACAGCGGCCTCGGCGACCCCGATTGGTCGGCGGAGGGCCGTAAATTTCTCCGCCGGCTGGCCGGAACGACCCGCATTTGTGGATTTCAATAAGGAGCGGTCTATAAATTAGGGGCTCATGACCGGGCGGCTCCCATTTGATGGGGCTAAACCAATAACGCCGCCGCCATTGGGTCAGCACTACCAATCACAGTAACAACAAGGCTCAGGAAAATCTGAACAGAAAAAGGGCAAATTCCCTTATTCGATGGTCAGGCGTAAAAACAAGTAAACATTGACGATTCGTTGCTCTTTGCAGCCTCATGAAATACATTTACACCAAAATATAATAATGCGGCTGAGATATTCCAAATAAGACAGTTCGTTCATACGGTAAGCGAATATTTGACTTCAGAAAAGGTCTGGATGAAGTGGATGGCTCTGAGGTAGCAAACAAAATCTGATAATCAGGAAACGTACGAGTACTAATTTCTCTGTCTTCCTGTAACCCACCGCGCCGGGCAGTGCGCTCCGATATTGCAGCGTCACTGGCCGACCACAGCCGCGCCCTTCCTCTCTACGTGGAGTGTCGGCCGGCGGTGACGCAGAGGGGAGGGGGAGGGGGGCGTCACGTGTCCCTGACAGCTGACTGGCGGACCGTGTCCGGCTGTCGGCCGCCGACACTCGAGTGGCCGTGACGTCACAACTCCCCTCAGGGGTGCCCGGTCAGCGGCAGTGGTCGGTGACAGGTCAGAGGGCGGACGGCGGGGGAGGAACAGTGAGAGCCCCTCAGCGCAGCCGGTGACGGGTCAAAGCGAGGATGGTGAGGGAAAATACACCTTTTTGCACTCAAAATAGGCATCTTTTCATTCAATTTCGGCGAATTGCATTCAATTTTAGCGATCTCTCTATTCGAAGCAAATGAGAGATCGCTAAAATTGAATGCAATTCGCCGAAATTGAATGAAAAGATGCCTATTTTGAGTGCAAAAAGGTGTAAAGGGAGTGCAGAAGGGAATGGAGCAAAACATAACACTTGCACTACATGTAAGGGAAGAACGGGAAGACACTCACGCTTCTTGCCATCTCTGTAAATCTCTGTAATGGGTGTGAAGCTTTAGTATGAGATATTGCATAAAGGACGGAGAAATGAACACTTTGGGCTTTTCGCCACTGTGAGCGGCCAATCCCCAACAAAATTGGCTGTCTGACATTCGACAAGACGAAGAGCCCGAGCCTTTACTCGGAGAAGGAGGCACGAGCAGCGTCGTTTGCTGTCATCGTCAGTAATTTGTGATCATCTTCAGGCCGACGTCCTCGTCTGATTCTGGCAGAAATCTTCCGAGTGGTAGGACACTGGTCGTTTAATTAAAAAGACGGTACTTACAACTGTCCCAAGTTTGCGAACGACATTGAAAAGGGTAGTCATCTGAAAAATATTGAAGCTTGAAGGTGGCAATTCTTTTTTCAAGCTACGAGCATTTACAGGCTTCTACATTTCTTTGCCTGCTCCGCCGCCCTGACTCCATTGGATTCATGCAAGGATCCTAGTCATCCACACAGTGCCGACCCACCGGGAAGACTGTCATTCTCCGGGCAGGTCGCATCTGGCAGCAATTAGTGTGTCGTATTGACGCCCCCGTCTCCGGGAGACGACCACGGCCTCCGTCCCGCGCCGGCCCCGCCGCCTCTCCTTCCGTTCAATCGGCGCTGTTTTGATTCGATTACGCCCGCTCTCTATAAATCAGCTCGCCGTCGCCGCGGCGACACAATGTGTTCATTTACATCGGCCGCCGCGCCATTCAGCCGCCGCCGACGCGCCAAATATGCCGACCACAGATAAGAAAACCACTTACACCGCCACTGACACTAGCGGCGGCGGCGCGCGTGCTTTTTCGCGCGCCTCCTCTGGCGGGAGGGCGCTTCACAAAACGCGCAGATAAGTGATTTAGCGGGTGTGTCCGGATGCTGCGCGGCATGATAAACGCGCCGCGATTTCGCCACCGCCGCGCCAGATTTCGGCGCGATTGCGGCACATTGGCCGTCGGGCAGGAGATTGGGTGGTCGGAGGGAAATGAGATATGCCCGGCGGCGGGTAATGTCCCCCGGGGAACGGCCTCAACGGCGGGTCGCACCGCGCCGGCGGCCAGACCTCGGCGGGTCGCACCGCGCCGGCGGCCAGACCTCGGCGGGTCGTACCGCGCCGGCGGCCAGACCTCGGCGGATGTTGCCCACTGAGTTATGGTTCGGATAAATGGAATTCCTAATAGGGCCGCCGGGCAGTCAATCATTTGCAAACGATACTGGGGTGGTGGTTATGAAAATGTGGTTAATGGAATATATTTTTGCATAAGGTCCATGACAGAGTGAATGCAAAATGGCAAACAAAAAACAATGAGGCACTGTTCTGTGTTGTCGATACCAACGATATAAGTACATGATAAAAAATACATGTGCATAGAGACCTCTGGCTCTGTACAGTCAACTAGGACATGTGCAATTCTACAGGCCCATCTTGCCCACAACTGACCTTTGGCGAAAGGTCATCTTCTTCATGACCAGGTTCTCCGTCTCAGCCCTACTTTCCTCAGGCTGCCCACAGCAGCTGAACCAGCCTGACCCTGTGGACCCCCTCCCTCAGGTCACCCGCGGTACATGAACCAGCTGTCCACCGGTCTGGAGGTGGTCTCCCTAGCCGGGGAGTGGCTGACGGCCACCGCCAACACCAACATGTTCACCTACGAGATCGCGCCCGTCTTCATCCTGATGGAGGCCGAGACCATGCAGAAGATGAGGGAGATCATCGGCTGGCGCGACCACGGCGACAGCATACTCTGCCCCGGTACATAGAGAACAATGTTCAACGCGATCTAATTTGGGCAGTAGTGTGCCATTCACCAAATCAAGCATCAGCGACAAACGTGCATCAATAATTTGATTAGCCATGTGGACATCGATAAAAAACTTTGCACACTTACTTTGAGGATAAGGTCAAGTAATGAAACTGTACATATAGCCATGTGGACATATAAACTGATGTTTTGCACCTACACTCATGGATAACTTCATTTAACGGTTACTACATTTCTTCAGTTTGCGCTTTAGGATTTTCAACATGTAACATGGCCTCAAATGGTCTCTTGTATTCCCCTGATGCTGTGTTGGCAGGCGGCACGATATCGAACCTGTACGCCGCACTGGTGGCTCGACACAAGATGTTCCCCAATGTCAAGGCCCAGGGTCTGTACGGCCTGCCGGCGCCCCTGGTCATGTTCACATCTGAATACGTGAGTGAACTGGTGATATAAAGGGCGTGGGGGAAGGATTACTCAAAAGCATGAGCCTACTTACTATCTGTGCCTTTTTATAATAACTATGACTCAACAAAAAAGGATGAATCTAATTAAAAATATCAGGTAAATGAAAATTATAACTTCACGGTTAAAGTCATTAAATCATGCTTAACTTGATGCGGAAATAAATGCTACCAATGTACCTCATCATACAACCAATTGCTGGCTCCCCCGCACCAGTGCACCGGCCTCTCGATGACCCCTGCTCCCCGTCCGTCAGAGCCACTACTCGATCATGACGGCGGGCGCAGTGATCGGTCTGGGAACGGACCACGTCTGGGAGGTGCCCTGCGACAAACGCGGACGGATGGACACCACCAAACTGGAAGCCAGGTGAGAACGGGCAACGCCAAACTGGAGGCGAGGTAAGAACGGGTAACGCCAAACTGGAGGCCAGGTGAGAACGGACACCACCAAACTGGAGGCCAGGTAAGAACGGATACCACCAAACTGGAGGCCAGGTAAGAACAGGCAACGCCAATTAGGAGTTCAGGTGGGAACGAGCCAAATAAAACGCGTAAGGAAAGCGTTGCAGGTGAAACAATAAATTAATCAGATAGGACGGACACAATTGACTTTCGGTGGAACAAGTTTGACAAAACTACTGCAACCTATGCATTGAGACTTATCAGTTGACTTTACTTTATGTAAGGTTAAAAAACTGTAGATGGTGACAAGTTAATTAACCAACACCCAGTTTTACCGATGTGATCTGTCAAAATATTGAAAAGTTTCTTTCATCGGCAGGATTTTGGAGGCGAAGCAGAAGGGCATGATCCCGTTCTTCGTCAACTGCACGGCCGGCAGCACAGTGGTGGGCGCCTACGACCCGATCCACGCCATCGCTGACATCTGCAAACGCTACAAAGTGTGGATGCACGTCGACGTGAGTTCGGAAAAGTAGTAGCTTTCTTATGTCAAATGCTGAGATCGATGTGGATTGGCTATAGCGAGAGTTTCATGAGTCGGAATCAAATTGCTTTTACCTAATCATGTTCTGAAAACAATGCTTTTTGAGCTTCAAGATAGCCAATCACTATCAAAATAAACCTTACAAGAGAGTTACTATACAAGAAAAAAAGTCGCAAGTATTTGATGAATAAACATTAAACAGGATCGAATGCACAGGAGTTCTGACCGCTTCCTCCACGGTGACCTCGCAGGCAGCCTGGGGCGGCGGCGCCCTGCTCTCACCAAAGCTGAAGGCCCGCCTGTTCGCCGGCATTGAGCGCGCCGACTCTGTCACGTGGAACCCACACAAGCAGATGGGTGTGCTTTTGCAATGTTCGACCATCCACATCAGGGAGGACGTGAGTCATCAGACGAGAGAGAGAGAGAGAGAGAGAGAGAGAGAGAGAGAGAGAGAGAGAGAGAGAGAGAGAGAGAGAGAGAGAGAGAGCACGTGAGCAAGGGAGAGCATGCACGGAAGAGTGAGCAGCAATGTCGGCTGCTTCTATCAGACAGTGTTTTTCCACAAATTCCAGTCATTCTAGAACGACGTCAAATGAATGGAAAGTCGTGTGGAAGCAATAGTTTGATTCCGCAAAGGAGCAAATTAAAATAAGCGATTGGACGGGAATGCGAGCTTTAAGCAAGGATTTGGGGAAAATTACTCGTTGCTTTTGCTGCTGTAAAAGTGCACAGATATATTGTGCATAAAATTTGCGCTGGATCTTTTATAGTTTTCCATTTTAACAAAGAGCCATTTCTCGTGACTGATTCTTAAAATCAAAATAGATGGGAAGCCTAGTGCGCGCTCACACAATTGTTGAAATACCTAAATAAGTCTCTCACTTAGCGCATAATCCGATAATGGTGAAAGCATGGCCAAGATTTAATCGCATAAGAGTAAAAGCCATCGGCCTCTTTCTCTCGTCCAAGTGCAGCTTCTTTTTTGCAATCACCATTTGAAAATCGAATGGCATTAAGCAATCTAAATTTGACTTCAAATGTTCAATTATTTGTACGAACACCAGCCAAACTGTCGCTCCCATCGTTTACAGGGCCTACTGATGAACTGCAACAAGATGTGCGCCGAGTACCTGTTCCAGCAGGACAAACACTACGACACCAGTTTCGACACGGGCGACAAGGTCATCCAGTGCGGCCGCCACAACGACATCTTCAAGCTCTGGCTTCTCTGGCGCGCCAAGGTAAATGGCGCGGAAAGAGGAGCCGTTTCGCGGAGATCTAATGCGAAGTGAGCCCTGTAATAGCCGCGCAGGGGTGATGAAACTGATGACAGAACTGAAAGTTGGTAAAGAAGCGGAGTATTGTATTTATCAGGAAAGGAAGGTGTTCAACTTTCGGTCTTTGGTTTGCCTTTGTTCATGTGGTACATACATCACAGCTGACGTTTCCAGCTAAGGTCTAAATACATATTCATGTCCAAACCAAGGCCCTATATACCGTCCAAACTAGGAAGCCGGGAAATAACGATGAATGCATGCGATTCAGTATCACATCAGTTCATTGAACGACAGTAAAATAAGCAATAAGCAGCCACAATGAAATGCAGCGCAGCATCACTTCGAACGCGGACTCGTAGCAACGTCAGGCGGTTATAGAGTACTGCGGTACAGTATCACTCCAGGCGCTGACGGCTAGCGACATCTATTGGCAGTATCGTGAGTTAAAGTCGAGTCGTGCGGCGTAGCATCACTTCAGGCGCTGACGGGTAGCGGCATCTATCGACCGTAATATGAGATATAGCCGCGTCGTGCGGTACAGTATCACTCCAGGCGCTGACGGCTAGCGACATCTATTGACAGTATCGTGAGTTGAACCGAGTCGTGCGGCGCAGCATCACTTCAGGCGCTGACGGGTAGCGGCATCTATTGACCGTAATATCGAGTTATAGTCTCGTCGTGCGGTACAGTATCACTTCAGGCGCTGACGTGTAGCGACACCTATTGACAATAATAAGGTTTATGGTCGCGTCGTGCGGTACAGTATCACTCCAGGCGCTGATGGGTGGCGACATCTATTGACTGTTCAATAGGCTGAGACCGAGTCTCGTGGTATGTTCATTGTTCAACATAACCTTCCTGTGTTATCGGTGCCACATCCAAATAACAGGCAATGCAAGCGTCCCCACTCCAATCCCAAGTCGCAACAGCACGAATTTAATGCCGTATTTCTTACCTCTAGTATATCATATTCGCCCGAAACGAAGCACCACAACATACTACGTTTCACATCCCATAACAAATCGTCTTACACCTGTTTCCCACCAAAATACCTGCCTGAAACCCATACGCACCTCTGTCAAACGTTTGAACATACATGAACCTTCTCTGAGCTTTCCAACCCCGTCTGACATCATTTATCTTATATCTACCCAGGGAGATAGCGGGTTCGCGCGCCACGTCGAGTACCTCTGGGACGTGACCGACTTCATGGTTCAGGAGATCAAGCGGCGCGGCGACCGGTTCTACCTGATCTGGGAGGAGCCCGAGTGTCTGAACGTGTGCTTCTGGTACGTGCCGGCCCGACTGCGCCAGACGCCGCACGACGCCAACCGGGAGGAGGAGCTGGGAAAGGTCAGTGGCAGGCGCTCAAGGCTTTTTACAATTGAGTGCAAGATTGAGTGTATCATGAAAGAGCATTCAACAGCGACGTATGTTTACGTAGCTGAGGTATAAACGAGCAGTTTCATTTTCATTTGAGTTCATATCCGATCAGGAGTAAAATATTTTTTCTGGCATTGATCACTTCGGTTACTCAACCACGCATGGAACCCCGAAACGAGTGTGAATTTTTATCAAGCAGACAGCAGTAGACGAAGCATTTGTGCGTGCTGGCCTCACTGAGCTTATGCTCTTTCTCAGCTGTGCCCGACAATCAAAGCTCGAATGATGGAGCACGGCACACTGATGGTGTGCTACCAGCCTCTGCGCACCACCTCCACCCAGAGACCCAACTTCTTCCGCAACATCATCAACAACCAGGCCGTCACACGCGACGACATCCGCTTCATGCTCGACGAGATCGAGCGACTCGGTAACGACCTGTAGACAACGCTTCCCACAGCGGCCGCCAGAGGCGCTGTGCACCACCCGACAGATAGCAGGAGCGGCGGGCAGCCGCTGAAACCTGCCGTCGCCGGAGAGAATGAATGAATTCGGAGCGAGTTTATTTACGGATGTATTTCTTGTTTGTGGGAAATCAGGGTAGGATGTATGTGTTGTGGGATGACGCGGAGATGGCCGTTCAAGCAGGGTTTCTGACGACGAGAGCGAAGTGATACGTATGACGTTTATCAACATCGTTTATTGCCGTGTTAATGTTAGACACATCGTGATGTTAATGTTTGTGCTGACGACGGAGCAAGGTGGCCTGTCCAGGGCACTTTGTGCGGCGCGAGTATCATCAGAGGCTGGTCGATCTATCGATATTTATCAACGTGCTGTTGTTCGTGTAGATTGATGTGCAATGTGATCGTTGTGCTTATTATCAAAACGCTACGTTTATCACAGTTATACCAGAGCCAAGTTAACGTTATTTACGAAAGTTGAAGACAAAGGCTTATTTGAATTTCACATATCCTTCTGAGAGTTGTGAGCGCGAATGCTTGTTGAACATGATATCAGAAATTACTTGCAGCGAATGTGATATAGGTGCTAACCTAGTTTCCCGTTGAACATATGTGATGCGCACGCAGCTTGTCGTTCCCGTTAAAGGTGGTGTCACGGACCTGTCTCTCGACACTGCTGAGCGTGAGAGGGCGATTTCTGTGTTGGATGTTTGGCAACCCTTGATACGTGCTCAAACTCGATGCGCGGCCCCATCTGGTGGGGTCCACAAACCCACCAGCCCCGGTTACACCCTCGTCTTCCCAATCCTCGGTTGGCACGGTCTTTTTGTGCCCGGAAAACACACTATCCTCGATCAACAAACAATGTATAGGACGGGCCTTCTCGCTTAAACTCAATGGACTCTAACTCGTCTGTGTCGGTGCAGGGCTTATACCGATAATTTATTCCACCGTCTAGCACTGCAACAGTTTCACCATGAAATTGTAATTATAAAAGCACATTGTTACATGGATAATTGATTTGCCAGTTGCCATCCATTAAGGACTTAAATTATGCATGGTTATTATATGGATGCCTTCCAGAAGTCAGTAGCACTTTTGTCTTCCAAAATTCTTCCTTGGCCGATCTAAATTAGTGGGCATTTCAGCTATGATGTGTAACATAACACATTCCTGACCTTTGATGTACTGTTGTCTGGGGCCACTGTGTATTATACGCACTGTTGTCTGCACTGCTGTTCTTTGCGCTATCATCTGTTGTCTGCATCCTGTCTGCTCCATCGCCCATGTCGTGTTGTCAGCTGTCTGGCTGGGCGCTGTCTGTCTGTTGTCGCTGTCTGCTGTCTGATGTCCCTGTCGGCTGTCTGCTACTATAAGCTGCTTGCATTGCATCAATTATCTTCTACTGATCTTTATCTGAAAACGAGGGCTTCAGGCCATCATTCTAATTCTTCCCGTCAATATCTGGCCGTTTGCATTCACCGTCTCTCACAGCAGCCGCCTCCTTCTCTTACACTGCACTGGCCTGGGTCAGTCATTGTCACTCCTCTCCTAGAGCAGCGCCCTTCATTCACTTCTGCTGCACTGCGCTGCCTCAAAGTTCTCGCCGGTTTCACTTCCTCATGACCGGCCCTTCGCTGCACGCTTCTTATACTCGCCGGCCCCTATTGGGCACGAATCTCACCAGCTCGGTGGTCCCTTCTGTGGCCGTCGTGGAGCTGTCCGGAGCTGTAGCTGGCTTTACATGTATCAATGTTATGTGCCCGCGCTTGCCAGTAAGCTTCGGGCCGTCATTCTGACTGTTTTGGGTCCGAATGGGATGGGATTCCTGTGGGGACTTTGTTTAGGGGTAATTTTTGTATGGTTGATGCCGATGGTGATGGGCGTTCGAGAGGTGTTTGCATAATGCACATGTAATTATTGTAAGAATGTGTGTGTTTGTACGGGTGCGTTTGTTTTCACAGCAATGTTTCCGACGTTCTTGAGTTGGTACCGAATTGTTGCAAGCTCTTCTAGTGCTGGTGCTATAACTAGTGATAGTCTGAACAGCGGAGCAAGGCATGTTGTACATATAGAAATGTGTGAATGGGCCGACGATTGGCGGATGGTGTTGACACTTAAATGCTTTTTAAACGGGATGTTGTGATCCGGAGGGTTTGCTTTTGCTTCATTTTTGTAAAGTTGCACTCAGATGTTCTTCCAAAGGATGATCTGACCGGGAACTTTTGGTTTGAACTTTTTTACTTGAAGCGCTTTATTTCGAATAAGTGTGTTCTGACGTAAGCACGTTGTGTCCCGGTCTGTATTGTATATCGATGTAGCGTCGTCCCCGAGGTGGACCCCGTTTCCAGCTGACCTGACATGCCGTAGGGCGGGTCAGTCGCTTCCTTTATGCACGCTGCGGCCAAGCGCCACTCACAGTTCGACTCAGTTCTGCCGGTAGTGGACGCATGCCGTTTTGTTCCTGCACTGCATGCCGCACAATACTGCACTCAGCACTCGGTGTATTGGTAGCATTGGGGACCGTGGCTGGGTAAAGCAGCGCTGACATGCCAGTGAATGGTCGGAAATTCGTTTACGTCACAAGACGGCTCACTTCTCAATTGCTTCTGCCTTAAGCATGATTATCATGCTACTGAAGGTTATCCAAATTACGTATATATGACGATTATGCTATGGAAAGCCCCATAGTGACCATCCGATCCTTTGCGGCATGTTCAGCGTTGCTTTAGCTGCCAGTATCTATGCATTGTTTGTGTGTAGCATCTCGAGCCACATCGCACAATGGCACGACACAAAAGCACCGTCACAGCACGCCAAACCGGGATGGGCCAGATGTTCCCTCCCACGTGGACCGATCCTGACTACACCTTATCGAGCACCTCACTTCAAATAAAATCACCGCACCGCATCAGCACTTTAGACAAATGACTGACCTTTGACAGTCGCTCTCAAACGGCTGTCGAAAGCTGGAGGAGAATTAAGTCTTCCAAACGGTATCTTCCATGAGAAAACTATGTCTTCCAAAGCGGTGTTCCTGGTTATTCATGTGTGACGTTGCCATTAAACGATGTGCTTCCCATGATGCTGGTCCGACCATTGCGACCCCGCAATATATAGCTTGTATCATGTGTGCATAAGTGTGCCGCCTTTTGGCGAGAAGAACCGAAGTTTACATTCGGGGCAATAAGATCCAAGTCTTCCAAGCTAGGATAAGTGTTGGGCGCTAGGGTGCCGCCCAATGAGTCTGAGGTAGAGAGATATCAGATGTGTGAGTGAAAATTGCGTTATGATGAGTGTGCTGTCATGATATATGTGCTGATGTGCAATTCTACATGCTATGGGCGTTGGTTTGTTCTGGCGCCAAGAAGGTATCGATGGTAGAAAACAGCGATCTCAAACGGTTGACATATTCCGATTCGACTAATATAGCCCGTTTAGGGTTGGCCTTCGTTCCAGCTTGCCAATAATATAATTTATCTTGCAAAAAAGTTATGTAAAAAGGTGACAGCATTGCATTGATTGAAACCATAGCACAAGATGACTTATACCTATTGCTAAGTACCTAATAGCGGACAATCGTTATGTGCGCGCGTGTGTGGACAAAGCGTTTCCCTATGACCAGGGACGCGTTGTAATCCAGCTTGTCAGCTTGTCTGTGAACGTGAGGAGCGAGCGGCTGCTTCATTTGCTTTAGTGATCTCATGAGAGAGTGCGATGCATGAAACACTGTTCGTCGTTATGCTTTCGATAACGCAAGCTAGCGTTACGAAAGCTGTGTTGCTCGTTGTTAGCAGGGCGGTTAATATTTTCATTGTATTCAGGACGAATATAGCTTGCACACCTATGTTTCATAATCGCTGTAACCGTAAATGTGAGAGCCGTTTTTAATCAACCATTCACTTTAGACGTTTGAATGGTTATCATCAGTGTCACTATGTCTGCCTAAAAACGTCCGTATTTGTTTTGTGGTAGTCATACATTGGACGCCGCTGTCATTTGTCCGTACCGGACTCGTGCGCTCCTTCCGCGGACTTGTGCAGCCCGGACGGGACTCCCTGCTTCTTCTGTTGCCGAGCTGTGTCCATCGATGTGTAGAGCTGAGTGTTGTGCCCGAACCGCCGAGCGGCGACGACAGCGTCACGAACCGTGTCGTGACGCCCTGTGACGTCACCGCCCACCTGGGAGTGACGTCACAGCGGCGTCACGACAGAGCGTGAGCCCCGGCCCCGCTCTGTGACGCTATGTCAGCGTGCACTTACGTGCATCGTGTAGGCGGGCAATAAATATACGAAAAACAGCATGTTGTTTTAATAAAAATGAATGAAATAGGGGTTGGCTAAGTAGGGATTTGAGAGTCTTAGCTAATAGCACAGGTATTCTCAAGTGGGCTGCAGTTGCACATGATAAAAGCACTGACGGGATCAAGATGCTTATGGATAAACAAGTCTCATAACAATAACAATATCCGTGGATTCTCTGAAAACGAATCGATAGTCCACGGATTCATTAAGAATTACCCGGAAAATCCGCAATCTCACTAGCTACTCGTGAATTCGCAGAATCACGCACACTGTTTCACTCATTCACGTCACTGTCACGCTTCAGTAATTCAAGGACTAGTGAGCAGTTGCTAGGATCCACTAATTATTTTACGATCTCAGGGTTTGGTGTTTTGGTTGAAATGCGTAAATATACGTCTACCAATCATCAATAAATATTTGACCAAACAAACAAAAACACAGACCTGTCCTGTTGGTTTGTGCGTATACATAAGCTTCTTTTCCCTCCCCGGTGGCCCAGTTGGACCACCGACTGTGTGTCCCACTGGCCTACCCGTCTGAACAGCTGCAGGCAGTACCGCGGCGCCCGCCCGCGGTCCATCAGTGGTTACCTTGTTTGGGCGGTACTGCGAGCAGCCACACGCCGCTGTGGGTTACAGGCGCATAGACACACCCACGGAGACATCCACGGAGACGGACACAGGAGACAGAGGAGAGACGGTGTGTGCTGCTGGTGACGGACGGAGCAGTGTGTGTGTGCGCTAAATTCGCTCGGCATATTTTGTTGGAGAATGACGCCGAGTGAGTGTGGCTCCTGGGTAAAGTGAGAAGACCTTTGAGTTAACTGCAGCGCCACAGACTGAGATTATCCGAACGGTTGAAGGAGAGCACAACTCCACAGCAGTTTTGGATATAGGAGGAAGACAGCCAACATCGTCGCCGTAACATCAGAAGCGAACACCTGCAGCAGACCGACGAAAGACCAGCGGGGGGCCAGCAGAGGGCCAGCGGAGGGCCATCAAAGAGCCGCTGGAGGACCGGCGCAGGACCAGAGGCTGACCATGCCTCCCATCACGCTGATACTGCTCTCTTTAGCCGGCTATCTGTCCGTGCAGATGCTCTACATCACTCTGATGGTGGCCCGACAAACGGCCATCGACAGGAACGAGCGGATCGCACAGCTCGAACAGCAGCTGGCCCAGGCCTCCTCCTCCAGCTCCAGCTCCAGCTCCAGCTCCGGGTCAGCGTCCACTTTCAGCGCCGGCGTCATAATGGTAGGTTAATGTATTCGTCTAGTAGCTCACCATTTAGTAAATACATGCACACTTTGTTTTTCACTATAAAAATCATTTTGTTACATTACCTGAAGTTCAGCATAAAAACGGTACTCAATTAGAAAACAGCACGTAGGTCGCAGACTCGCAAGAATACTATAAGTCATCAAATGTCTCACACTTGCTCACCAGATCGGATGAATGCTTATCTCGAGGAATATAACAGTCGCAAAACAACAACCAGACCATTGGCCATAAGGCTTTTTACGGGAAACCTGAGTCCAATATTTTAAGGTTATTATGTGCATAATGCCTATATAGACACATTGCATGGATATATCTAATGACATGGCGTCTTGCATTAACCCGCGCCCCGTTGGGCTCTGCCGAGCAACGCGCCCGGTTGGGGGGGGCCATTTTGGCCCCCCCCCCCTAAGATCTCGAGAACCACGCAACATAGCGACAAGCGGTAAACGGTGTTGGATAGCCCCAACGGGGAACTACCTTGTGACCCAATTTTATTGACCTAGGTCAAACCGATGACGTCACAGGTCAGGTCAAAGGTCCAATTTTCACCGTTTACAGGCACTTCAAGAAATGCGTTGTAAAATCGAGTAAAATGCATTTCATTGAAAATCATCGATGGGGAAATGTTCTTCAAACACATATTTTGCTATTTGAGGTCAATGATACCAGGTCAGGTCACAGAGGTCAGGTCACGGGGGGGTCACAATATGAAAGTGTCGTGTGATACATGTTTTATGGTCCATTTTACATGACAAATGCGATTATATGGGTCAGGCAGCCTTTGGGGCCAGCTTAGACCACGTTTTGGTCAAGGTCAGGTCAAGGTCAGGTCAAGGTCAGGTCAAATTAGGTCAAATTTCAAAGTTAATATTTTTGCATAAAATGGGTATCGAATCGATGCAGCTCGTCACGGGGAGTTCAATGGTGGTCTTTGTTTTGCCGTACGTGGTCTAGAATTGCTAAAAATTGAGTTCAAAAATTTGACGTCATCATTTTTGAACAGGTTTTTCGCTATAACTTGGCCAAAAAACGAGATATCGATCTGAAATTTGGTATGTATATAGAAGAGCGCTGGGACTATCACATATATTCCGGTTTTTTCGAAATTCGGAAAAATTTTGGATTTTTTCAAAGTTTTTCTAAAAAAATCAATTTTTTGATTTTTTTTAGGTCAAAAACCAAAAATTTGGAAAATCCGAGATAGCAGTTTTGTAGCGCCGCTTTTTGTCTACTAGACCATATAAAGAACTTTGAAATTGCTTGATAACTGTAGATTTGGTGAGCGTTTCAAGATTGCATGTTTTTTGCTCATTTTTGCTCGAACATGACCTCAGTTTGACCTCAATAACTCCTGACCTAAGGTGACCTAAGACTTGAAATTTGGTGTGAAGGTGTCAAATTGATGCCCGGGAAGGTACTGAAAATTTGGCGGCGCTGCGCGCCGCCGTTTTCTTGCTATTCAGGAAAAACCACAGGGGGGGCCAAAATGGCCCCCCCCCCAACGGGGCGAGGGTTAATCAAAGCAGACATATTAATTTCGTTTATATTTAGCGTGGTTGCAAAGTTGCATCATTCTACTCTTGTAAAAAGCACAAATTTACCTACTTTTCGTAAAAACGCAGACTTCTTTATGCGCATCGTTAGCGCCCACAGTTAACCCTCGCACGACCAGGCCATTTCTCATAACACGAACGACCAGGGGGGAGGGGGTTGTTACGACCCCCCCCTGGCGTTTCGAAACGGAAGGTCGTAGAGCTTAGCGGAAAAAACCAACGGATTGCTCTCAACGAGATCTCGCGATTGGTGGTATATTTTTTGGTCCTAGGTCAACATTTGACCTACTTTTGACCGGTCAAAGGTCAAATTTTCGGAAAAATAGACTTTTTCAACTTTCGGCGGCGATTGCGGCAAAACGGTGGGAGATATCGACTTGAAACCTTCACTATCGTGTTCCTTGATCAATTCTCTATCGTTTGGTATGTATTTCGTTTCCCTAGCTCTAAAAATGACGCGTTGGGAGCGCCGGAAGTCGGCAAGGTCACAGTCGGCGGCAGAAATTCGAAAAATCAAAATTTAAATTTTTGAAATCTGATTGTATTTTTGGATTTGGGAGGTCCATTTGCTCCCTATAGAAGCTAATATTGCTGCATGTTCCCATTGAGGTGACAAGAATTAGCAAAATAGTGGTTCGGGCGCTTTTCAAAAATAGTACCGGACGCTGTTCCTCTTGTGACGTCATAGCTCCGTGACCTGACCTGACCCTGTCAAATTTCTTATACCATATGATAGCCAATACTTGCCCCAACATGCATGGGAAGTTTCATCACGATCCATCAACCGATGTCCGTACCACCGGCAGGAAACCTCGGGCGTTGGCACTCAGTTTGTGAAAATCCGGCCGGAGGCTGTACCTCTTATGACGTCATAACTCCGTGACCTGACATGACCCGATCAATTTTTTTCGGCAAAAGATGTGCAAAGGTTGCCCCAGAGGGTATTGAAAATTTCAGCCCGCTACGACAAGCCGTTTAGCGTGCACTTCGAAAAAACCTCAGGGGGGGGGGTTGATACAACCCCCCCCCCCCCTAGGCGTTCTAGGGTTAACAATCCTACGGTTGAGCAGCAAAATGCAAGGCCAGACAGCCCTAAATTAACAGCTGCTTTGGGCGTCAGCCCTTGCATCGTTTTCCCTGTCGGCTTCGACTCTCGGCAGTGACGGTCTCCGACACGACCGCAGCCGGTGGCGGTGGCGCCGGACGTCGGTGGCCGCTGCCGCCCGGCGGTTACACGCTCCACTAACTACACACACACACGCGGACCACCAAACGAAATCGGGCACACAGACAACGCGTGCATATGCATTTATGGACCCACAGGTGAAACGGCGCAGTGCGAACAGGCTGTGAGGGAAATTGACAGGCGGACTGCCCCCGGCGCCTCTCACGCCGGCTGTCTGGGAATGGGACTGGATAACTTTCACACGTTCGCCAAAATTAACCTGAGCTATTAGAGCTATTAGCACGATTCAGTTCATCAATATATTCTGAGCATGTTAATCGCATTATCGCTTTTCTATTGCCTACGTGAACATAACTGACATAAAAAGTGACCACAATTTATAGTTTACTTACAAAGAGCCTTTTATGAGGTTTGCTCATTATAAAGACGCATTTTTCAAACAAAGTATTTAATAAATTGCATCATCACCAGAATTACCCCATTCACCAAGCAAGAATAGCCTCACCAGGGGCCAATCTCACCTGCCACACAGCAGATCCTGTATTAACTTCATGGATAACTACTGAGACCGTCCCCGCTGACGGTGATTGCGTGTTCGCTGTTTCAGGGTGATCCGGCTCCGCCTCCAGTTCCGGTACCGGTACTGCCTGTGATGGACGGCGCACCACTCCTACCGGGCACCCTCGCCTCCCCGGACAGCACGGCGCTTCAGAATACAGCCGAGGGACCAACGGACCAGACGGACCAGGCTAAACCGGTGGGAGGAGCCGACCAGACAGAGCCATTTACTGGAGACTTTTCAGAGACTAGTGGACCACCGGGCAGTCAAGGTTTCTCCGATCCCCTGAACGTAGAATCGAGCGGTGAGATGGACCCAGAAGATAGCACGGACCAAACGGAACCATTTGACGACACAGACCAGACGCTGCCATTCGACAGTGCAGGTCTAACAGAACCACTTAACAGTCTGGACGAAACGATACCGCTCAGTCCAACTCAGCCTGGGATCGAAAGTGCTGACAATGTTGCGTCATCAGACGCCGAGGCTCCCGAATCACCTTCGGAAACTCCAACTGGTATTACTGACGGCGACTCTACAACAGGTCCAAGCGAACCAAACATCGATTCAGTCCCAAGCGCACCATCACAAAGCTCTGGAGAGACTGACTTACTCGGGGCCGGCTCCTCGCAGCACCAAATCGACGGTACGGAAAATGCAGGCGACCAGGGACCGGCCTCTGAGGACCAGGCGGGTGGCGCGACATCTGACGAGGCGACTCTAGCGGCACCTACGGCAAATGGTGGAGACACGGCGCCTGCTGACGATCCCTCCTCGGACCTCAAGAATCCATCCCTCTCCGAGACGGATTCTATCTCTAGCGGCTCTTCTGCCGCGGACCTGCTTCCCGAGTCGTCTACTGACCCACCGCCGGAGTCCTCCACTGATCTGCCGCCGGACTCATCGACAGATCTGCCGCCGGAGTCGACGACGCTGCACTCGGAGCTGGTGACGCGCGTGTTTGCCGAGTTCGTCAGCCCGGCGGCGCTGGCCGCCCAGCTGGAGCCGCTGGCCGAACAGTCGCTGACGGCTCTGCGCGCCGGACACCGCTCGCCGCTGTACATGCAGCTTGCCAGCGAGCTGCAGGGCGAGATCGAATCGCGGCAGGCCGTCACCAATACCGAGGCTGATGACGCTCAGGGAGAGGCGGAGAGAGGTCCTGTGGAGACGGCTCTGGAGGCGCCGGCGGCCTGGCAGAGCGCCGAGGAGAGAGAGGATCCGGAGGACCCGCTGTTGGCGTCACTGCTACAGCTGCTGGGAGGACAGGCGCGCGCGAGGACGGCGCACGGTCCTCTGATGCACAAGAGTCTGCCCGAGCAGCGCTGGTGGAGCCGGCAGCGGCAGCCAGCGTGGGGCGGTGTCAGGTTATAGAGGATATGGGGGAAGATTGTGAGATTCGTTTGCAGAGAGCGAGTTGGAGCGAGAGTGGTAGCTTGGAATGGGTCTAGCGATTTGGATATCCGTCACTGTGTACTGAAATTGATAACAGCGATGTAGCCGGACTCGTCCAGTGAATATGTTTGCATTTTGCATCCATAAGCAAACTCCTTCAGAAACAAATTGCAATTATTGGGGAATGAGGGGCACTTGAATGAAATGTTAATATTGTTCATGTTCATAATGATGCTGAATTCACTTTCGTTTCATAGTTGGTTTCACTTTCGCTTTACTTCAGTTCCAGAAATCAGAATCCAGCGAAGGGAAAGCGTCCTAACCAAACTGCTGAGTTGCATTTTGCAGTCGTCAATTTGCAGTCGTCGACAGCGGTGAAGTGTTTATCGATACCAAACGGTCGCTGTTATTGCGTGCTGAGTGGTGAGGCTTGCTGGTCCGTGCAATTACTGTGAGCCAGCTCGTGAAGTTGGTCGAAAGCGAATGCATTTATATTAAAAACATTGTATGAGAATTCCTCCTTTGCTTAAAAGATAACTGTTGCACATAGATATACTATCAGATAACAGGTATATACTATTTTTTCCACAATTAAGAGGCGGTTGAGACATCACCATTGTAGGTCAGGTCATGTCTTTACAGGGTCAAGATAAATAATAGGTAGGAATAGGTAGGCATATAAATAGGAAGGTTACTCGTATAAGCTTGTTGTGACATAAATAGATTGGTCGACACTGACACTATGGCGTATTGTGTAACGCTTAAAATCGTAGCACATTGTATCATCATTGCATGCTTTTTCTTATGCATGTCCGACAATAAACTGCATTAGAAAAAATACAATTTCTGATCTTTCATTACATATGATCCGTAGCTCCTAAACTTCGGTGTGCCTGAATCCCAAAATACGCAGCTCAGGACCTCGACCATCCACGGCGCTAACAAATGCATTCTCACTTTCACCTCAATCGGTCATGCGTCCCTCACATCTCCTCACCATCCACCACCCTCCCTCCCCGAGATCCTGCCGAAATCGGTCCCACCCGGTCCGAGCCCCCCTCCCCCATCGGCGCGGCGCCGGCGCGGCGACCCACTGCAGCATCGGCCTGCCCCCACCGCCGCAGTGTAGCGTCGGTGGCGACGGAGTGACGACGTCGTCGGGTCGTCGGCCGCGACGCAGTGAGCGGTGAGGTCACGCTGGGTGACGGAGTGGGTTCAGGTCACCAAAGATCACCGCGGACGACACGGGTGCACTTTGGACCAACGCTGGATATGACAGCATTGCTCTGGATCCATGAGCCGGAGCAAATATTGGTAAGTTATAGTCTTCTTCGTCACTAAATGTTTTGTACGGTATTGTTGATGTTGATAATTGTGCACAGAATTGTTCTCAGTGTCCATGTGGTCCGTTTACATCACTTTACCAATGACCCGATGCCATAATAGATGTTTTTCGCGCTAACTTCATAAATTGACGAAGACTCTGGCATCCCTTGACGATCGTAAATATATTTCGTCGTCAGCAGCCATAGACTGTCAAAAATTAAGTAGCTGGCGTGTAGCTCGATAGTCATGGTGAAGCCAGTGTTGAAAGAAACAAACTTTTGGTCCTAGCATAAATTTTGTAACTTGGCTCCACAAGCAGAAACTTAAATGACATGAATTGCAATCCAAAACGCATTCATCGAAGGGGTAAGGCTTATAAAAGTTACCTAAACGCTTTCTACCGGAAGAAAGGGCTAGGGGTGTAATTTACTCTGAAATGTACCTACTGGTCAGCTTAACAGAGCAACAGGGTTATGAAGCATGAGCAAAACAATCCAGAATTTCCTGAATGAATTCACTGCGAGTATGGGTTTACAAGTCCAGGGCGACTCAACCAGAAATGGGGAAAAAACGTGCCGACCACTACAGGCATATCTGCTTCATCTCCAAATGAATGGGCAGTCCAAGTTCTTGTTGCATAGTCAGCTACCAGCTCTACTGGACTAATTTTCATCAGACGGCACACCAAGACTCCTGCTACCACACCGGGCGCATGCTTTAGTTTCTGTCCATAGATGGCGCTAGTAGTGAACGCCTGTAGATATAGGGGAGAGTGGGGTAATTTGGCCGCCTTTTTTTTAGAAAACGATATAACTTAAAATTGACGACATATTTCTGCATTTTCTCAACGCTGGCAGGTGTCGCATTCATTTTACTTTACTGGACAGTGAACTTGAAATGATAGAGTAATTACTTATATTGAAATTGTGACGTATTACAAAGGTCTGCAAGGCGGCCAACTTGCCCCACTAGCAGGGTTATTTGGCCGGGGGTGTGGGGTAATTTGGCCGGTGTTAGTTTACGGTCGGGATTTTCTGTTATATTGCGAGTCAGCTTCAGATTCAGCAATGACGGTGTCCTATGACGCATTAGCCACATTTTGGAGGTTGACTCAGGGGTCACAGGGGTCAAAATAGCCAAATTAGCGGCTCTAGATGCGATCACCGTTTTTTTACGAATAACTTTTGAAGTAATCAAGCTAGGCCAAAACTTCGAGCACCATCGTAATTCTCTCGTCAGTCCGCATCGAAAGATATATGTGTTGACCTTGAGAAGTCAAGGTCAAAGGTTGACCTCAAGTCACGTTGCATCAGGTCGCTTGACCTCAAGGTTACGTGAGTTCAAGGTCATCATGCATATCATTCGATGCGCCTTGGCGAGCTGAACAGAATGAGACCATTTGTGCGGCTGTACCATTTTGATGTAAGGATTTATTAGCAAAAAACGTTTGGTAACCTTTGATGACGTCACATGCTCTTACAGTTTACCAATCGAAAGTAAGGCATCGAAGTAGTCAAAGTTGGTCATGAATCATGTCGTTTATGGTACAATTGACCATGAAAACTCGGCCATCCCAGCATAGTGAGTAGTGACCATGAGCGCACCGGCCAAGTTGCCCCGCTAGTCCCGGCCAAATTACCCCATATTGCCATTCTGAAATTTTTTGTCTATAAAGTCATCACGGCTATACGGAAATAGATAAAATTGCTCTTGGAACCGCTGAACACCCCCAAGAATGGCGCTATAATGTCTGAATTCGTTTTTAGCCCAAACACTACATGTTATACAACTTTGCAAACAGAAGTAAAAGTTACCATTTTCTAATGAAATTAACGTTTTATTAATTTTTAATAAAGCTACAAAGGGCAAAGTTTTGACATTTGTCCTCCAGTTATTTCTACCCGTGACAAATGAATAGAGACTAGAGTTATTTCACTCACTTTTATTAGACATCGTACAGGTGGGGGCGGCCAATTTACACCACCGGCCAAATTACCCCACTCTCCCCTACTGCACCGCAAGGCATGCCATCCGCGGCGGTAGATAGGCGTCGCTTGGCAGAGTGTCTCGTGTCGACAAAGGAAAAGTTCGCGCGGTTTATTTAATTGTAAGTACATACTGATCAAGCCGGTAACTCCGACTTTGCAGTTTGTAACCGCCAGTGCCCAGTTGAGAGGTGAGCGGGAAGCACAATACCTTGGTAACATCATGGTGATATCATTCACTCCTGGTCTGAGCTGACATGACAGATCCGCGAGAAAAAGAGCTACGCTAGGGCCACGTCTTTCATGAGTATCCCAGCGAATGCAATTAACTGCATACGATTTAAAGTGGACACTTATTTGATGTCATTGACAAGTGTGAAATCATTTCCTGATTTCCGCCTCGACTGTCAATCGACTAGCGATAAAAATAAATACAGCCACTTTGTCTTCCCAGCCGTAACAGCCCATGTGATGAATCTTTCTCACAGATGCACCAACCGAAGTGCTACATAACCAATGCTTTTAAATAATGCTACTAAGCGCTTTCTTGAGGCTCATTGTAAAAAAAAAATATGAAGATTAAGAACCGTAGCATAATACTTAAGTGAATATATCGCCGATTATAATCCAATCAAGTGAGACGACAGTTTCGGGCATGACCCATTATCAAGTCCGCACATTGTTAACAATGAATTTACTTTATGGCAATATACATATTCACTTTAGTATGAGGCTACGGTTCTTAATATTCATACTTTTAAAGAAATATAACATTTATCTTGTTCACGTTTTTCATTTTAGTTTCAAACTAGATTAGGTGCTTGGTTGGCATTGTGACCACTAATAATCATGTCACAAGTCCATTTGTTAGCAGTCGGCGATATTTGGTGACCCGCACCAGCACCGGATCGCTCCGAGAAATGCTGGTCACTCTCACCTTGTCCCACGATCACCACATTGTCTTAGCATGACTGACCAAGCCAGACAATGCGAAACACCGCCAAGGCTGCTGTATCAGCGGCAATAAGTGGCTTCTACCGCAGAACCGGCCCAACATCATGGCGAGTGAGAGTGAGGTAACAGTCACGGCTAGCCACGCCCGGTGGAGACTACGGATCGAACCAAGTGAGCGGACCACGAATGGTAGCGGCAGGTCCGGGGACCACGAGCGGGGACCACGGAAGGGGATCATGGAAGGGGATCACGGAAGGGGACCATGGAAGGGGATCACGGAAGGGGACCACGGGAGTGAGCCACCGAAGGGGACCACAATGGGTCCGTGAGGTGAAGACCTTAGCAGCCGGTCGTACGCAGGCGAGTGAGACAGAGAAGCTAGACCTTTTCGTCAGCTGTGTCGCTGGTCACTATACTTACAAGCTTATAAATTTATATTTAGTCCTACACCTGTACACTGTACACCTAGTCCTACACCTAGTCCTAGTCCTGTACAATACAGCTTATATATAGTCAAGTTTAAAGTCCTATTAAAATTCTGCGAAACAGTACAGAATTAAGCACGGTATAAAACGTTGTGACGGACCGCTCGCTCGGCGCCGCTATCAGCTTTAATGCGATTTAAGATGAAAGAAGTCTGTCTACATATAGGCAATTAGGCCTAGCGAGCAGGAATAATTAATGCGCAATGGATAGATGATTTTTCTTTCATGCTGCCACACAGTCTGATTATTTTTCAATGAAATCGCCTCTTTGCTGTTTCTTTTTTTTTTTCTACAAGTCTGGCAGCGCTGAATAGGCTGAGGTCTCAGCAGTCCTCAGTGGCACACCGTCGTGACCGACCCACGCCACTTTGGGCCCAAGTGACGGCCACCGCCTCGGTCCGTCGCGTGTATCATAATCGTTAATTGCCCTCCTATCGACCCCCGCCCCCTCCCCGTTCCGCCACCGCCCCTCCCCGTTCCGTCCGACCTACGGACCGCCAGCGCCGAGCATCGGGAATCGGCTGCAACAGCTGGTTCCGAAACGGGAGCCCGTATTACGGTGGCGACCCACGTCTAATTGTTATTGCACAAGACCACAAGCGTGCTAGGTCGATAAACAATGACGCTTGTAAGCGTAGATTAAGTACGCTTTCTGATTGCAGCCACGGCACAGCACACTCTTCGATCTACGCCTGTCTACAATACAATATATTTTCCGTAAATATTTGTGATGCTCTAGCAATTATCTTCCCCAGCAGACTTGTTTTAGCTTCATATTTTGTTTGACTTGACCGAACCGAGCTCGACCTCCACATCAAATGACCCTGGACACGCCTCTGCCGCTTGGGTAGACGGCGCCGGCTACGCAGAGGGCTGGGAGCCCCCTCCCCCCACGGCCTTGTCCCCCTCTCCCGAGAGGCGGGGTCACCGATTAACTTCACAGCACGGAGTGCCGTCAGACCAAGCGTCAGACGGTGTGTTGATCCCGCGCGGGGAGGTCGGTCGGCAGCTAGTGTCCGGTGGTAGTGAGGGACCGTGGTTCTTCCTGACACGTGGACAGTCACCAGGGGTTCGGCGCGTCACGGACCGACCGAGACCCAGGTAATGGGTGTCAGACAGACTCCTTCCAAAATATTGCTAAGCTTATTACAGATTATTAATGGTACTCACCAATGCAGGAGCGACCGGTCTCTTGTAACGTTGTAGGTATGTTTTGAATTGGCGGCGTTATGATCCGGCGTCGTTGACCATTTCAGCCACGATTCTCACCGAATCGTGGATGACTGAAAAGCATTTTGACGGTGATCCCACTCGAGTTTATCAGACTTCAGTTCCCCTCCACTCACGATAAGCATCACACGTGAAAAATCGTTATCTTCCGAAGCAACAACGTCCGGTCCGTCAACGTCACGTTACGCATATTCACGAACAAATGTTCACGTAACACAATTCACCGCGGTTTCCACCGTTTCCAAAAACAGTATGTTATCTCGATCGTTATCTCACCTCACGACCTTGACACCTGTTGACCGACTGGCTGGCGAGTCGCGTCAGCTGACGCCGCGGGCCACGACTTCTGCGGTCGGCCCGCTCCTCCGCTGCACGCTGATTGGTCGAGACGTTTATATAGCCTTGGTCGAGACGACCGGCCGTCTCGACTCGGTAAACCGCCCGGGGCGATTATTAGAGGGGGGGGGGGTATTAAAGATGCAATGTAAAAGAATGGTGACAGGTAGGGTCGCCCGAATTGATATGCATTGCTGACAGCTTTTCTTACCCACAGGAGGAGCAGACTGCTGTAATGACCGGCTCTCTCGGAGACGGTTCGACCGGCTGATCACCGCCTCATCAGCCGCTCCCCGCCGCCGCCGCCACGCTGGACGCGGCCGCCGGGCCGGTGGCGTGGCCCGTGGCGCCGGCCGCCCTGCTGCCGCCCCGTATGCTGGACCTGGTGCTGTTCTGCGCCGCCGTCTCCACGGGCTTCTACCTGTTCTACTGGTACCGCCTGGACCTGGTGCGCACTGCCGAAGCGCGGCAGCGGGCCTGTGCGCGCCGCCAGGCCGACGACCTGCGGCGCGCGGCGCGCTTCCGACAGGTGGCTCGCGTCGGCGGCGCGGCGTGCCCCGAGTTCCACTCGATCCAGGACAGCTTCCACAGCCACGGAGAGCTGATGCGGGCTATTCGCCGCAGCGGCCTGCGCCGGCTGCGAGCCGTGCTCGGCGTCGACTTCAGCGCCAGCAACGAGTGGCAGGGTAACCGCAGCTTCGGCCACCAGAGCCTGCACCGGGTGGTGACGCTGAAGCCCTCCAACCCGTACCAGCGGGCCATCCAGGCGGTGGGCCGCGCGCTCGAGCCGCTCCTCGACGGTGGCGACGTGTTCGCCTACGGGTTCGGTGATACGACCACGCGCGGCTCGGAGGTGTTCCCGCTGCGGCCGGACGGCCAGCCGTGCCCCGGGTTCCGGGACGCGCTGGCCAGCTACACGGCGGCGGCGAGGGTGCGCTCCCTCTCCGGGCCGACCTCTCTGCGACCCGTCATTGAGCGCGCAGTGTGGCACGCGCGGCAGGCCGGTGCCGGCGAGCTCACCCTGTTAGTAATAGTCTCGGACGGCCAGCTGCCGGACGCCGACGACTCGGTGGCCGCCCTGGTGGCCGCCTCTGCCCACCCGCTCTCCATCGCGTTGGTCGGCGTCGGAGACGGACCCTGGGATACCATGGAGGCGCTCGACGACTTCGTGCCGGCGAGGAGGTTCGACAACTTCCAGTTCGTCGACTTTAACCAGGCGTGTCCGCCAGGCGCCGGCGCCGGCCACGAGCTCGTCTTTGCTACGCATCTTCTCATGGAAGTACCCGAACATTTCCGACTGCTGTGTGAACGCGGCTGTATCCAGCCCCGGGAGCACGCGCCGGCCGCCACCGCTGCCTCGCTGACGGCGGAGTGTTCTCGGCTGGCGGCGGCGTCCTCGGCCGGTCCGGGGGTCTCGGCAGAGGCGCCGCACGGCTGGCCGCGGGTGGTGAGGGTGGAGAGCTCCCCCACCCGGGTGATCGCCGGGGACCCGACCCCGCGCCTCCGCAGGAAGATGATGTCGCTCCGGTAGCGCGCGGAGAGACGCTCGTCGGAGTGCGGCGAGCGGTGTCGAATATGAGACGTTCGAGTGTGAGCGGTTTAGTTGGATGAATGTGACAAAATCGTCGACTTATTGCGTAGTTGAGCAAAAGTGATGGTGGTCCGTAAATGAACGTAAGGACACTTAAGAACTGAAAATGATTTAGCCAGCCTGTGAACCTCGCAACACTGTAAGAGCGTCGACTCTCGTCAAGCTGTTACTGACTAGGAAATCATCCATGCCGCCAGCGTGCTATGGACAGGGACGTTTAGCGGTGAAGGACACACGACATATCAGAGCTGGCGATTGCTACCTACTGTCGTCTCGGGCATTCTGCATTAGGTACACGCGCCATGGAGCCCTCAGTCCTGATCCATTTGTCATGCCCATGCGTGGTGTCAAGTGGTCTGTCGTTGCCTCTCAGCCGCTGCTGTTATCCTCTCGGTGTACTTAACCTTTCATTCTTCACGTCGTAGGTGTTTTGAGGGTCTCGGCCTTTGAGGGTGGAGGAGGCTATCAGCTCCCATGGAGTGGACGTTTTCAGGGGGCTGCGCAGAGGCTACTGTTAAGCACTCGTAAGGGTTCGAGTGCAAAAAGTTGTCAAGTAGGCTTAGACGGACGTGTCCATAAATCTTTAGGAAGACGTCATAGAACTTCCAATTATTTCCGCCGGAAACAAGGTGATAATGAAACGGGAGACTGGTAGCGTTCGCTATTGTAAAAAGCTAATGAGTTTGTTTCACGACGTTTTGATACACGAGCTGAGCTAAATTACATAATAATTCGCCGGATGACATTCGCTGATATACCTTATCAGCCCGTAACGAAGGTGGGCTGTTTCCATCGAACAGAGGAGATAGACGCTGCCAGTCATGTCTAGGAGTCTTTCTCACCGATGCATTTCACACAGCAATTTGGGCGAATTAGTCATTACATTATTCAATTCTCAACACGCAAAAAATACCGCATTAGGCTTCCGCAAGTTGAAATTCAAATTAAAACAAGGCATTTGCGATATAGTATACAGCTTATCACGTCTAATGAATTAATGATTGGGGTCTTGAAGATAAGAAACATCCAACGGTCCACATGGTGCGGATAGAATAGCGGAAAATGGGCTGTCAGGCTGTTATCAGGAAAACACCAATATCAGACGTGGCAAAAACAGGCGATCGCTGTGTACGTGTCTCACGCGTCACGCCACTATCGTTTATGTAACGCATGAGATGTGATGGTAGTCCTCTTCACTGATCGCACGAGCTCGACGCCAACTCTGCTGGCAGTGGGGGGACTGTAGCCATTCCAGTACCCCGCCTGAACAGCCTCGTCAAAATCCAACTCAAATCTTGAGCACAGCGTCCTTTCCCGACGTCTTCATCCTTCTATTGGGCTTTGGAGTATTGCTCTGTGGTCGTGAAGTTGTGATATGACTCGTCTGTCCGCTGGAGAGGAGGGAGCTTTCAGTCCCGCTTGCTTAGCGTCACAGCCAGTCGTCGTTACGTTGTTTCGTGTCGTGCAGAGTCTTTCATTCCGTCCAATAAAGTGTTATCGGTGTATGGTGTTCATTTGTTACGTCGTTGCGTCTTATTATTCCGGTGTCTGTGTTAGTATTTGAACGGTTACCGATGATAAAACACGTATGAACAACGCTAGGCATGTATTTTACAAGGAGAGACCTAAAACAGGTGAGAACGGTGGTGATATGTGAAAAATAAACATTTACAGACACTGCCGGCGGCCCGGGGTGCCTCCGTCCCGACTCCGGAGGCGGCAGCACGCGATCGAACACTCACCGGTCCTCCGACCTACCGGAGGGTGGCCGGCCGGCACTGGCGCGGCACAGAGACTGCCTTCTCAGACAGCCGAGCTACACTGACCCAACGTAACACACGCGAGCACACAGAAGGCGCGCCGCTCCGGCCTGCACAAGACGCATGCATGGGCAAACAAAACAGACCAATGCACATCGTATACATGCACACAGTTCACACGCGCATATCTACATCAAAACACATCCCTGCCCGCGTACAAGCCGCACACAGCGCCAAGCCGCCACGCGCAGAACACCGCTGACCATCACTGCAAGCTGCGCCCCGCGCGGCGCTCGCCGGAAGTACCCTTCTTCCGGTGCAGCGGCCCAGACTAGATCAACATTTGGTCAAATACACACACACACGCGCTACAGTGCGGCGCCACGCTCGGCTGTCCGCTGACACTACGGTCCTGAGAGAGGGGACTGACGACTGCGGCGGCGGCGGGGGCGGCGGGTCAGATCTGCCGCCGGGCGGGGGCGGGGGCGGCGGGCGGGAAATCACAGCCGGTTCGGCGCTCGCTCGGCGCCGCTAAGTCTCAAAGTGTTTGTAGATGGAGGTGACATAGGCGAGCACCTGCTGCCAGTCGGGCCGGTCCTGAGACACCATGTCGTTGGTGTTCTGAAAACAGAGAGATAAGTCGGTCAGAGCGGCGCCAACGCGATCCGGGACGGGGAGTGATGGCTAACCAACGGACGGGGGAAGGGATAGTTAGCCGTCGAGCAATGCTAGAGAGCCGGTCAATGTGGAACTTTAAGCATGCTATCGGTTGTGCCCACGAATATTGCTCTAGCAATAAATAACTCATCGTCGGGTAATTACAAAAATGATAGTGATTAATTGCTGTAGTTGGATTGTCTGAGCTAAAATCGACACCAGCATCACGATTCGGCCCAGTAATTGGACATACATCATTCAGCACATAGTGCCGAGTAAAGATTGAAATGCAGGGCCCGCCGTTGTCGAGGCGCTGCGCCATAAGGTTCACATTTACAGCACCCATACCACTCTGTAGGCCCGACGGCCACAGCGCAGCACCAACCCCTCCCTGGCCATTTGTCAGTCACGGCCAGAAGGCGTGCAAACGGCGTCACGGGACCCCGCCGGCAAAGGTCAGTCCACGTCGAAAACAGGCCCCGGCCCAGACAAACAAATCACTCACGGCAGGACGAGGAACAACACGGACATGTCACTCACACCACAGACAGCTGACGAAAAACCACGGCGACAGACGGCATTTCGCAATTGCGTGACGAATACGAAAAAAACAGCCAGGTACCAAATTTTACGGAATCTGATGGTGCAGAGTAACACGGAAGGCAGAAAGAAAAGCAAACTACCATTTACCATACAACCCTTTTTGATCGACGATAAATTACACAAAAGATTTAACTCGGGCTCAAATACTTCACCTACAGAACTGTACTGTAGCTTCCTTTCTGTTTTATTGTGTAGACCGCACAGCCGCGAGTTTTACGTCTGTGCTTAGTACCGTCAGAAGAATCCCAGCCATTATCACGATCCCAGTAACACAAAATAACCACCCGAAAACATTGTCTGAAAAGAAAACTGGTCTACGTCTGAAAAGACCACACAATGAAAACGAAGAAAGGAAGCGCTCTAACCCTGAGGCAATCACCAAAATGTCAATAAAGCCGCTCGCTGGCGGCCGAAGAAATCCCGGCAGAGGCACTCCGCCATTGATCTAAAACGGAGGTCCCCCAGTCTCCCGACACCGGCCACATTCTCACTCAGAGCCAACTGATCTTTGGCACGGGCGACTCGCTACAACCGGCGGCGAGCTCGCCATTACAACAGGAACGGCTGGGGGCGATAAGCACGAACCAACACCAACAATGGAACAGAGGCTCTGTCGTCCTGCCAGCCGCGTCTCTTCATTTTCCACAGGCTGCGACAGGAGATGGGCGACCGACCCAGTGAGTCACCTGCCTAAAACAGTCGGCTGGCAACTCCCGATGACCTAAGAGCAGTCGGCTGGTGGCCTTGGGTGACCTAAGAGCAGTCGGCTGGTGGCCTTGGGTGACCTAAGAGCAATGGGTTGACGACCTTGGGTGACCTGGAACAGTCGGCTGGTGACCTTTGGTGACCCCAAACACGCCTATAGCCAGGCAATATCAGGGGCAGAGTCAACACTGACATCGCACCGCCCCCGACTGCACACACTCGGAGCCAATCCATACCACGAATTCAGTTTTATCAGACGGCCGGTCGAGCCCGGTACTGGGAACGGTTGGCCATGGTGACATGTGGCCCACACGACCGTCTTTTACCGATAAAACGACTAGACATGGTGACTGAAGGCAGAACTATGCCGACATGAATGCTGACACGAAGGCCCGTTTATAGTTGAATATTGTCCCCACGTAGGCAAATCGACCACCAGCTGTGGAAATTCAGCACACAACGATGGGGTGTTTAGCACGCAACGATGGAAATTCTTGTCACCTATAGCTCCGACCGTGCATTTCATGGATTTGCATGAAAAACACTTCTCATGGGTGCACTTCCTTCTCTACCTGACTAATAACAAGATCAAACCCACTCGCTAAACATCCCATGATACACATTCCATCTCGGCCGAACGATTATATAACAAACATCGCCCAGCCATGCCAGCAACATTCCATCTGCGACCCGAACTTAAACAGACCCAAGCTGAGACGCGCTGCAGTGCAGTCAGTTCCTGAGACCCGAGCTGCTCCTGAGAGCGCGGACCGACCCTTCAGTGGCAGTGCCGACCCATCACGGCCGTAGTGCAGGGGAGGGCCATTCCGACTGAGATCAATTCCGTGTACGGACGGTCCGCCGGGTCCGGATTGCCGGAAACGGCGCACGCTCTACATGACAACTGGGTATAATGCTGAGAGCTCTGGGAGTGAAAGAAGGAGGGAGGGGGAGGGGATGTGAGAAACTAGAAAAAAGACAGAGTACGAGAGAGAGAGAGAGAGAGAGAGAGAGAGAGAGAGAGAGAGAGAGAGAGAGAGAGAGAGAGAGAGAGAGAGAGAGAGAGAGAGAGAGAGAGAGAGAGAGAGAGAGAGAGAGAGAGAGAGAGAGAGAGAGAGAGAGAGAGAGAGATTTTCGCCTCAGCCGGTCGAGGCGAAAATGCCACTCAACCAAATGACACAAAAACACCCATCCCCTCCATCCTGCAGTGCGGACCACACCCCCACCACAAGCACCGTATCCAGAAGGCGATCAACTTTGCGGCACGTGTCGTCACAGGACTGGCCCGACGGCAGCACGTCACTCCTGCTCTGCAGGCGCTTGGATGGCAGCGATTCGAGGGCATGCTTGAGAAACGGGATGTGGCTCTTATACAAAGGCTGGTCTCGCTTGACGCGCCGCCTGCACTGGCCCAAGTTGTACAGCGTCGCTCGGACGTGTCACAGAGACACACCCGATGCTCCCACGGACATCAGTTGGAGCTACCTAAAATTAAGAGTGAGCGAGCGAGGCGCTGTTTCCCTTACAGATCTGTGTCCACGTGGAACAGCGTTGGCGGGGTCGGCAGCGGATGAAAAACCATGTATGGCAACTTAGCGGCCCCCGGCTAAGAGGCGTTGGGCGAGGGCAGACAGATGCCGGAGAGAGCGAGGGAGAGGGAGGGAGGGTGGGAGGGAGAGAGATAAGCGGAGCGGGCGGGCTGGGGCGGGAGGCACGAGGGGAGCGCGGGATATAGGACAGTCAGAGACGAGCCAGCGAAGGGGACGGACCATCGGTCATGGTCTCAACAATTTTTTTGGCTTCTCTCATTGTGTGACACTCGGAGTGACAGAGTGACAGAGAGGCTATGAATAGTGACGGTGAAAGAGGGAGTGGTGGCATGGTACTCAGAGGGGCGGTGCCTTGCGATTCAGCGCAGCGCAGGAGCTGGGAGGCAGAGAACCAACCGCCTGTGACGACTCATGACGCGAGGTTTGTCAGTAGATGCCACTGACTACAGGTAAGCGAAGGGCCGAGTTCGCTGTTGTGTAACTGGCCGGGTGCTGCGACAGCTTGACGGGCGCAGTCACCTGCGCTCTCGAGAGCAGGGATGCTTTTGTGGGCAGACCGCGAGGGCGCTACTTTCCAGCTCTTGGGAGCTTATTGTCATGGCTGTCAGCTGTCGATGCATAATCAGCGGGTAGCAGATTCGCGCGACTTGCGTCATTGCGGAGTCACGCGCTGTCTAATCTGGATGGTGTTGTCCGACATCTCGTGCTACAAATTGAATAGGCTGGCAATATCGGCTTGGGAGAGACGGTCGTGGACATTTTTTTTCGTTGCTTCGTCAAGAGCTGTTTGACGCACACGACGAGAGGGCTGAAAAGCCATTTAAATGGAGACCTCAATACACTGGATTTGGAACAGTCTTCCTCTCAGCACCGCCATCTCATCAGCAGAGCACCCACAGGAAGTGAGCGGTCCCCACTCTACTCTACCCCACCCACCTACTCAATCAGCAGCCGGCTCATCCTCCCTACCATCAGCTCAGCGACACTCATCAGCTCAGCGAGGGGACACCCGCAGCTAGCCCCACCAGGCCACCCTAGCCCGGCGCCGCTGCCGCAGTGGTCATCCCTCGTCCGATCGTCTGATGACGCCGGTCGGCCTGACGACGCCTAATGACGGCGGATGGCGACCAGACGCCGCCGCCACCACAGCGGTAATTACATCACCGGACTGTGTTGTGTAGGAGCGTCCTGTACGAACCAGATGATGCGTGTGCTGACGGTCAGTACAGCCCGGTCGGAGGGTGTGTCCTGTCTGGTTAGGGAGGTGCGGGACACGCGCTGATTATCGACGGGACGGAATCGAGGGATGGGAGAGAGGGTGGCGCGGTCACGGGAGTTTGTTAAGACTTCGGGAACATAGCTGGTGGCGTGCCTACAAAAAATGAATTGAATTTTTGTTTAGCTTATTTAATATTGGTTTGCAATGTAGTTATGCACAAATAAATAACATTTGCATCGACGCATGGAGGGACTTTGATCTTCCATACGAACATGCAAAACGTGTTCGGCCGCACCCAGGCCTCAGAAGCCGTGCCTCAGGCGGCTAAGGGCGTTACGTTGCCCGTTAACCCCACTTCCCGCGCCATTGAGACGCCACTAGGCGAGTTTATTATGATAACGGGAAGCCGAAGCTCAGCCACACAAAGATCCCGAAATGATGAAACGGCTCCGCGGCTCCTCAGAGCAAACATCACTCGCTCGCTTTATTGGGGAGAAACTGCGCCATCGCTGGAAGAAAAACTAGGTCCTATCAGGTCAGACCAGACTTCCCAAGTTCGACCCAGCGAGAAATGGTCGCCACAGAAAAATGCCAAGACCTGAGATACCTTGGAGAACATTTTATAGAGCGAAGATGACGTTCCAATCAGCGCTCATGTTGACATGGCCGATAACACGTACAGAGCGGCAGCGTGTGTTGTGCTATCTCGGCAAGGACAACATCTTATGGCGAGTGATGTACGACAACATTGGGATAGTCGCCAATTTCCGCAGATAATGATCAAACACACGACGCGCTGTTCCAAGTGCATGGCATTCGGGTGTGCACTAAATGCGGTACCTACTAACAGTCCCAATCCTGCTCTCAAGCATTGAATCCCTCATTTT